GTATGCAGTTTAATGAGTGAGCTTTTTGCAACGAGACTTGTTCTGGCCCCGGATTGCACACGACGAACTTTTCTAGCACACGTTCAACTGTGTGCCCGCCGAGAGAGCCTCATGCTGGAGATTAAACCAGACATGCAGATGGTGGAAGACAATCCTCTTCTGGTCCTCGCTACCGTTTCACGTAGTGTGGTCTTTATGGAACAATCCCCCGGCTTTCTTCAAGCAAATACGGAGTACATACCCTCAATTGCTCTTCTCAGATGTCCCATCAGCCCAAATCGAGACTGCTCGCGAAGAAGAAACACACGCCTCACACATCTTTCTTGTGTGTTCAACACTTCAAATACAACACAGTCCAACTGGGCTCAGCGTCAAAAGTTTGACAATACGCGCACGCCTCAACATCTCTTCTTTCAGCCATGCATACTGAGCACTGACGCAGGATGCGGCCCCAGCCCAAACAGTGTAGGGTCATAGGGGACTCGCACACTTTGGGGAACTTCCAGCAGAAGAACCTTCCCATTACAGTTTTCCGATAAATTCGAGATGTGCAAGCATAAAATAAGCATACAACGCGAGCCTTCCGATGCCAAATTCAGTGTCACTACCCCGCGCGGGATTCGCAGGATCCATAACCTCAACAAATACCAGCGTGCCTTCATCCCGTTGTCGGAGATCATTACTGCGCACAATTTTCTAAGTGCTATGGTTGTTGGATTGGTCCGCTATCACCCACAATTTCTACATCATTTATAAATATGTATACATATATTTGTGGGGTGAATAAGCACATGACATTGGCTAACTTCTGTCTCTTTTTTTTTTTCTTGGTCTTAAGGCGATGAGATTTGTGAAACTGTCTGTTGAATTCAACCGCGAGCAAGCACAATACTCTCCCCTCCTCTCTCCCTCCCTACCCCGACCACCAAAAAAAAATGTCTCTGGATAAAGAAATACTGGTACAGCAGACTTGATGCGTGAAAATCAAAACTCAAGACCTTGACCATCATACTCGAACTTTCATGAAGTGTACTTAACAGTGATTAAGGTGCGATTGTACGAAATACGGAATCATTCTAAAGAAAGAAGACAGGACCAATCCTCCGAATGTCAGAATGCAATAGACCTATTACCCTGAAACATACCACTCACGTGCCGCTGAACATTTTCAAACCTCAAAAACGCACACGACTCGCTCTCCAGGTGGTTAAACAACGCCGCCAGCGTCGTAAACTGCCTCCCACACTTGCCCTGCGAATTCGGACATCGGTACACCTTCTGCTGATGCGCGGGAGAATTGACATGCGACGTCAGGGCACCCTTCGAGTTGAACTGCCTATGGCATATGTAACACTCCCAGAAGCTGCCGTTATACGCATGGTCGGTAGCCAGGTATTCGACACTACTCTCCCCGTGCCATTCAATCTGCCTGTTGGTGATGACCCCGTGCGGATCACGGTCACGCACGGCGCGAAGAATGGATTCGCGGTTAAGATTTGGGGCGCGGGGACAGGCGCCTCGCTCAAGATGATGACTGACCCCACTCGCGGAGGTGTAGGCGCCTTTGCAGAAGGGACAAGAGACATTGGAGCCCCGGTGGACCTTTGAGTTGAGGTGCTGCAGACCAGTCAGTAGTGTATCGTAGGAATTTCGGAGGAGGATAATTTTATAATAATGGGGGTTTCCGTCTTACCATCTTCAGAGCATTTGGACTCGAGAATCGGATGTCACAAGCTCCGCAGTAGTTCTTGTAGTGACCGTTGGCTTTCATGTGATTGTTTGCTTGCCCCTGAGTGTGGAATTTGATGTTGCATGTTTCGCATGGGACTTTGGGCTTTCGATGCCCAAGGGCATTCATATGTTGATTGACCGCATGCTCGGAGCTGAACTCCCTGGTGCAAGTCTCACATTCGTATACCGGTGCCCAGTGATCTGTGTCGTTCATGTGCTGGTTGCAAGCACTCCTGCTATAGAACGCACGGGTGCATGTCTCACATTCGTACATTTTGGGCAGGTTTCAATGTTCATGGACTGTACATACATGCACGTGTAGATACGGTGGTATTCGAAAGGAGGTGAGACGGTAGCAGAGAGGGCTGACGTGGATGCCGGAAAAACGT